TTCGGTCACGTGAGGCAGCGGTGCACTGCTGCGGTCGAGCGTGGTAACACCTGCTTTAGGTGCGGCTCCGCGGACCATCGCGCGGCATCTTGCAGGGGCACACCCTTGTGTGTCCTTTGTAAAGAAAGGGGAGTAGAGGCCGGCCACCGAATGGGTGGCCCGTCTTGCACGGCTGCCCACGGTACCGGGAAGTCTCGGTCCGCACTGCGGCGTCGCAAGAAAAGGGAACGCGCAGCCAATGCTGCGGAACCCTCTACGGGTGCGGGTAGCGCCGGCGCTGCCCCGGAAACAAGTGCGGGCTCTTCTGGCCCCACAGAGGGTATTAGTGCGACGCCGCCGCCAGCGCCTACCGGGGCTTCCCGGACCGCTGGCGACACGGGGTCGTCGGCAACAGGGAAGGGAGGGGGCCCCACAGGGCCCCAACCCCAGGGGGAGAGTGTTGCGGTGGGGGCAATGCAGTTGGCGGACATTGATCCGACAATTGCCGCCTTCACTGCAACACTCGTAGCAGAGGGGGAAGGTCCGGAGGGGGCCATGGAGATCGATAATTCATAGTCCTCCAGACCAATCTGGGCCGCTCCGGAAGGGCACTGGACCTCTTGGTCCAGCACCTGATGGAGCACCGGGTGGGGCTGTCGATCGCGGCGGAGCCATACGAGGTGCCCAATCACCCTCTTTGGGTGGGGGACGCCGCTGGCTCCGTTGCGATCACGTGGCAGTGCCTCCCCGGTCTCCCCCCCTGCTCCTTTCTGGGGCGGGGTACGGGATTCGCGGGGGTCCTGTGGGGCAACATCGCGGTGGTGGGGGTCTATATCTCCCCCAGCCGTAGCCGACAGGAATTCGACCAATTCCTGGGAGGGCTCGGGGACTTTGTCCTAGGACAAGGTTCTCAGCCAGTCCCCGTCCTGGGGGACTTCAACGCCCATGCGACTGCATGGGGTTCCCCAGGACGGGTCCGAGGGGGTCGGCGCTGCTGGAGTGGGCGGCTGGGTTGAACCTGGTGTGCATAAACACCGGTTCGGAGAGCACGTTCGTGTCGTCGAGGGGGGAGTCTGTGGTGGATCTCACCTGGGCTTCCCCATCGGCGGCGCGGCGGGTCTCCGATTGGCGGGTCCTCGGGGAGGTGGAGACCCTGTCTGACCACGTTTACGTGGTTATGCAGGTGGACTCCGCCTCTCGCGGGGGGGCATGCCTGGTTGGATCCAGACGCTCACGTGGGGGTGGGCCCCTGCCACCGCGATGGAAATGGGGGGTGTTCGATGAGAACCTTTTCAACGCCGCGGCTCAGGTCGTGGCTTGGGCCTCCTCCAATCGTGGCATTCTGCTGGATGGCCCAGTGGATCGTGTTGCCTGGGGGCTCCGCCGGGATGTGGTGGCATTTTGCGGCGCCTCCATGCCCCGTGCGTGGCCGCCCAGAGCCCACAACAGGGCGTATTGGTGGTCGGCGGAGATCGGGTTGCTGCGCGTTACCTGCAACCGACTCCGCCGGCGATTCACCCGGGCCAGAAGGCGGAGGCTGCCGCACGAGCGTGTCGCAGAGGCTTATCGGGCGTACGCAGACGCCCGTTTCGCCCTGCGGCACGCCATCGGGGGAGCCAAGTCCCGTGCCTGGGAAGAGCTCCTCGGTGCCGTGCACGGGGATCTGTGGGGTCGGGCGTACAGGCTCGTCTTGGGGGGGCTCAGGCCCTGGGCCGCCCCAACGACGGAGAGTATGGGCGTCCGGACACTCTTCACCATTGTCCGGACATTGTTCCCAGAGGGGGACGGTGCGCCCCACCTCTCCCCCGTGGACCGCCTTATAACGTCGGCATTGGCCGGCGCGCGTTCGCGGGCATCCGGTCTCGACCCGGTTGCCGGGGGGTGGTCGCGCGGGCTCGAAATCGACAACGAGGAGCTCGGGAGGGCGGTTAAACGCATGTGTGCCAAGAAGGTCGCGCCTGGGGCGCGGCGATGGAGGTCCTCGCCCCGCGGGTCAGGAGGTTGTTTAACAGCTGCCTGGCCCGCGGGGAATATCCGCGGGAGTGGAAGGCGGCTCGGCTGATCCTCATAGCTAAGCCTGGGAGGCCTGCCGGAATGCCCTCGGCATATAGGCCGATTTGCTTACTCGACGAGGTGGGAAAGCTGTTCGAAAGAATAGTAAATTCCCGCCTCGTCGACCACCTGTCCCTTCGTGCGCCGGGACTGGATGGGGCCCAGTTCGGGTTCCGGAGGGGGCGTGGCACGCTCGATGCTATCGGTCGTGTACGCTCCTTCTCCGAGAGCTGGACCGGCCGGGGGGGCGTGGTGCTGGCGGTGTCGATCGAAATCGACAACGCCTTCAACACGCTCCCCTGGTGTAAGATACAGGAGAGACTGGAATATCTCCGCGTTCCCTTGTATCTCAGGAAGGTCATCTCGGCGTATCTCCGGGATAGGTGGATTTTATTCACGGATAGGGACGGCAGGTCTCACAGGAGATCAATTGACCGCGGGGTGCACCAGGGATCCGTCCTGGGGCCCACTTTATGGAACATCGCGTACGATGTAGTGTTGAGGGATCCCCTCCCGCCGGACACAGAGGTCGTCTGTTACGCAGACGACACGCTTCTGTTGGTCGGCGGGACGGGATTTGCGGCGGTCAGCCGAGCCGCGGAGGTGACGGCATCGGCGTTGTTGCGTTCTATCCGCGGGTTGAGCCTGTGGGTGTTGCCCACAAAGACGGAGGCGTTATGGATGTACCATCGGTCCCGTCTGGGCGGCCCGCCGCCTGACTCGCGGATAATGGTGGGAGGGGCTCCGGTCCGGGTCGGGAACCGGATGAAATATCTGGGACTCGTCCTGGACAGCCACTGGCAGTTTGGGCCCCATTTCGCCCAGTTGTTCCCTCGGTCTTGGGGGGTGACTTGCGCCCTGGCGCGGTTGCTCCCCAACCTTGGGGGTGCGGCTGGGCGGGTGCGGCGGCTGTACGCGGGGGTGGTGCGCAGTATCGTCCTATACGGCGCGCCGATCTTCACCGACGACCTGGTGGCGGACAAATCTACCCGGCTCCTTTTGGGCCGGCTGCACAGATTGTCCGCCATCAGGATCGTGAGGGGATACCGCACCCTCTCGGGTGCAGCGGCTGCAGTCCTGGCGGGGTTCCCGCCCTTTGACCTTCAGGCCCTCGCCTTGCGAGATATTTATCTCCGGGCCAGGTCTGGGGCCGGTGACGGAGGTACCGCCGGGGAATGGGACCCGGACACCCTGGAGTCCGTATGGAACCCCAGGGACCAGGTCTGGCGGCGTGTGTGGGAGCGCTGGCGACTCCGTCTTTTAGACGAGGAGTTCGCCTCCCACCGCGTCGTTGGGGCTGTTTTGCCGAGCTGGGAGGCTTGGCGGGACAGCGGTGGAGTGCTGCTCACCTTCCGCGTGACATAGGTGCTGTCCGGGCATGGCTGCTTCGAAGAGGGTCCGAATCCACGCCGGGTCCTGGGTCCTGGTCCACGCCATCGGGGGGGACCTCTCTCCAGCGGCGCTCATTAGAGAGAGCGGGGCTCTCATCCCTCTCCGGCCCCTCGCCGGCCCCCCCACTTTAAGATTCTGGCCGTCGGGCCCGGGGTTTCGGAACCCACGGAACCGGTGTGCCAGAGGGCTCAAATCGTCTCTAGTCGGGGCTAGAGGCGGCTCTTGCACGGGCCCTGGGGAGGGAAGGACGCAGTCGGAGTGTTCACGCTGCGTCCCGTGATCCGCGAGGGGTCTTGATCGCGTTTTTGTGCATGAAGTCTTGCCATGCTGTTAGTGTTGCGTAATACTAGCGTGTCGTGTTGGCATATACTGGGCCGGGGGGTGTCACTGAGGGTAAATGTTTGGTTCCGGTGCACCCCCTGTTATGGCCGAGGCTGGAACACCCCTGGGGATTCGGTGACTCTTGCTTTGGGCAGGTTACCCATTATGTAATCTGTTGGTGGTGGTTGCGCTCGGAGGCAGCGCGAACAGGTCTTTATGGCCCTCCATACCTGACTTCAACCGTCAATGGGCCAGTATCGGCGCCTAACCGTATATAGCGTGTTTTGTACGCCGGTGTGCAGTTGAGCACGATGCTCGGCTTCTATGATCAGTCCCGTCACGCGTGCCTTTGGTAAGATGATGGGATGCCGTTGCGAAAATGGCATTAAGGAGTGTTTCAGTCGTCCTCCGACTCGCAATATCCCGTCCTTGTCGATGAATGGGTTGAGACGTTGCAATTTTCCACCGACTTCTGATTTGTTGGTAGTCAGACATTGTAATTCTTTTGAAAAGTGCAAGCTTTGCAAAAGTTTTATTAGGATGTCGTTGGCATTCCTGATTTCGGACACTGTCAGGCTACCCTTTTCGTTGTATGTCCTTTTCCATCTAAGACAGCGCGCGACGACCCGTTGCATCTTTCCCCACGACGAATAATTTTCGAAGATGCTCGTGTCTAACGATGTCGTAGTTAGACAAGCTGCTGTCTTTTGCTCCGGGACGATGTTGGGTGGAACTATTTCATGGTTTGGCCATCGAGATTTGTCCTTGGCGAGCCACTCTGGACCGTGATGCCAGATGGATGGTCGGAGGAACTCTTCTGGCGTTTGACCGCGCGAAATGAGATCCGCGGGGTTGTCATTCGTCGGAACGTGTCGCCAATTCGCGATGTCAGTTCTAGTTTGAATTTCGGATACCCTGTTTGCGACGAATGTCTTCAGAAGGTGTGGTGAAGTTTGTAGCCAGTTGATGACGATGGTGGAATCGGTCCATAAGGTGGCATTGTGGATTTCCACGTGCAACGCGTTCTTGGCAGTAGCGATGAGCGAGGTGAGAAGCAGCGCTCCACACAGCTCGAGCCGGGGTACCGATTGCGTTTTTAACGGGGCAACCTTTGACTTTGCGAAGAGAAGCTCTACGTTTATATGTCCGTTCGCGTCCATTGAACGGACATAGATGCAAGCTCCGTAAGCTCTCTCGCTAGCATCGCAGAAACCATGTAATTCGATTTCGACTGGTGAGTTGATAACGGTCTTCCTTTGGAAAGTGATGTTGTTTAGCAAGGACAATTGTTTATAGTACTGGCACCATTCTGTGTGTATGTCCATCGGCAGAGATTCGTCCCAGTCTACCTTAATGGACCAAATTCTCTGAAGCAGGATTTTTGCAACGATGATGACGGGACCGAGGAGGCCTAACGGGTCATAAATCCTGGCAATTTTGGAGGAAATGAAGCGTTTGGTTATGTGCGTGGTCGCGAGTTTTATTTGGACTTCATAGGATATGGAGTCTGCCGAGGAGTTCCAAACAATCCCTAACGTTTTTATGTTTGACGAATCGCCGAGATGGTGCTTCCTGTCGATTGGCTGATCCGATAATCATGTCAAAAGTGCCTCATGGTTGGCCGCCCATTGTCTGATGTTTAGCCCGGCTGATCGTAGCAATTGCATTAGATCCTCCCTCAATGAGCGCGCTTCCTCGATGGTAGATGCTCCAGTGAGTGCGTCATCCACGTAAAAATCGCGACGCAGAATTTTTGCGGCTTGAGGAAACCGGTGCCCTTCGTCTTGGGCGAGTTGAGTAAGACAACGGATCGCCAAGTACGGCGCAGCTGACAACCCGAATGTGATGGTTTTCAGCTCGTAGGTATTGACTTGACCGGTATCATCGCGCCAAAGAATCCGCTGATATTTCCGATCTTCGTCACGAACAAGAAACTGCCTGTACATTTTCTCTATATCACCGGTGAGAACGTAACGGTGAATACGGAAGCGGAGTAAAATGTACAGCAGATCGTCCTGTATTTTTGGCCCTGTATGGAGGGTGTCGTTGAGCGAGATTCCGGTGCTCGTTGCAGCGGAACCGTCGAAAACCATTCGAAGCTTGGTGGTTGCACTCGTGACCTTCGTGACTACGTGATGAGGCAGGTAATATCCGCCGGATGAATCTCGATCTTCAGAAACCCGTTCCATGTGGCCCAGGTCGAAATATTCATTTATGACGGTGTGATATTCTTTCCGTAAAGTTGCGTCACGATGTAGTTTCTGTTCCAGAGATTCCAATCGTTTTAACGCCCGCGATTTGGATTCTCCCAGCTGCGTAACGTTGTCATTGAACGGGAGTGCTACAACGTACCGACCGTCGGTGTTCCGTGTCGTATGCTTTTGAAAATGCATCTCGCAACTCTTGTCCGAACTCGACAGATGCTGGATCTGTGGACCTTCTTCGATCTCCCAAAACCGAGCCAGATCGACTTAGAGAGTCGTGGCCGTGTGACACGAGGCACTGCGTGGAGAAATGGAAGCTGGAGGACTTCCCCCTATCACCCAGCCGACTCTCGTTTTCTGTAGGTACAGATCTGGTCCACCTGGAGGAGACAGATTAATCTGCCCGACGCTTAAGAGCGACAACGTTGCTCCGGAGCCGATTAGTAGATCGACGGATGCTGGACGGTGAAACTCTGGATCTGCCAGCTTAATGCCCTTTGGAATGTGTATTCCCGATCGGTCAATGGGTTAATCTGGGACGAGCGGTGCATTTTTGGAATCGTTAAGAATGTTAATGTGCGTTGATAGTCGCTCACCTTAGAACGGATGGTGGCTGTAACGGTATGTTTCGCGACCGTTGTCAACGCGTTGAAGTTCATTGTTGATCGCGTTGACAATGAAAGCTCCGCGATGGTTTGTTCCCATGGGATTCTCTGGTCGTGGTAGTCAATCGCTCGTTTCTTCCTGCAAAACCGGTGGTGCGACGCGTTTCGCGGGTGGCGTGGTTGCGCGATTTGATGATTGCTTCGGCTGATGTATCAGAGTATGGTGATGCTTGTTGCAGATTCGGCATGAGCCCCTTTTGCACATTTCGGAGTTATGGTCCGATCGCAAACAAATTGAGCACAACGAGGCCTTCCGTATCGCGGTAATTCGCGCCTCGACTGATAGGGCATGGAATCGTTCACAGCGCCAGATGCCGTGTGCCTCGTGGCAAATGGGACACTTCGGTGTGTTCGCGGAACTATCTGGCGTTTCAACCGATTCGCGTTGATTCTGGAAATCTTGAGAATTGCTCGCGGTTACGAATGCCTGACTGCGCGTGGGGTATCGTTGCGATGGAGACTTCGTCGACGGGTTTCGAACAACATGTCCGGCTGATGTCGACGATTTTTTCTGCGTCGTTGGTCTGCAGTTCGCGCGTTTCTCCAGGAAGTTGAGGAGGTGCGAGTAAGATGGCATTTCCTTGTCTTTTAATGATAACTCCCAGTGTCACGCGGTATCCGTGCTTATTTTGGACAATATTATTGAGACGAGCATGCAATCCCACGACGATGTGTTGACGCCAAGGTTTCTTAGCGACCGAAGATTCTGGCGGATTGTATCGACTAGATCCCCTAATTCTTCCGGAGAGTCGGTTTGTAATTTGGAGATCGCTTGAATCGCGTCGCAGTGTTTCAAAAGGACTCTACGTTTGCAGTCGAATTTCTCCTTCAATAAATCGATCGCGTCGGAGTAATTCACGTCCGTAGTACTCAGCGACTCAATACACGCGGTTGCCTTTCCGGAAAGGGTCGATCGCAGATACTGTAGTTTCTGCGTCGGTGTTAAATCCGCGTTCTGGTCGATTATCGAAGAGAAAATGTCGAAATATGATGCCCAATTTTCGATTTTTCCGTCGAATGTTGATAGGCGCATCTCCGGCAATCTTATCGCCATAGGGGCGGATATAGAGGACGCGTGTGAATCCGTCGTGTTTCGTCGCGGGGTTCTGTTCGCGCGCTCTCCCTCGATTAGTGCATTTGCTCGCGCAATGACGGTTACATAATCATTGTGGATTTCGGCCTCGAGATGCTCCTTGGACTAGGGTATTCGAAGGATACTGAGGTGATCCTTCGGTGATGCTGCGACCGATACGGTGGACCGCTGCTGATGAATTAGCGACAGCGTCGCGTTGAGATGGTAGTTAGCAGTTACCAAAGTATTTGGAATCCACGCGTCACTGAGGCTCCGGCTCGAAGGAACATTTAATGTTTCACAATGTGTGAATACGCGTTCGCGACGAGACTTTGGGATGCGTCGAGAGCCGAGTCAGCGGAGGTCGTAAGTCTCCGGTACGATTTTAAATCGACGTCGCGGTGCGCGTACGACCCTACGACCTTTTACAGAGATAGGGTGAACAAGTTTTGTTCCGACAAGTTTTCGGTTTAAATGGTACGGTTTCCGCGGGAGGATGATGTTGTTCCCTTGACTTATTGATGCTAACTGACCCCTTAGAGACGCAAATTCACTTCGATTCACCCACGCCGGAAGTGAATTTGCCGCGTTGACGGAACGCATGCGGAAGTGGAGACGTCGAATTTTCCGATTGACTGAGATGAACGCGTTGGCGTGTTCTCAACTGAAACTGGTGGTTGAGAGATGCACCAATCAGCGAATCGGGAAATGCCGGAAAATGACGGTCCCAATTGGCGGGTCCCTTGGGCCAAGGCGATTCGTGCGCCACCTGTCCGTGCGTGGGTGCACCTTAGCCGCGAGAGCCCGCTTTTTGGGGTTTTTCCGGCTTCGCGTGACGTCATCCACTCTCCCTCCGAGGGTGTCTCCAAGGGGTGGTTTGCCAAGGCTGCGGCATGTGTTTTGCAAGCCGTCGACCACGGACCGAATTTT